CTCTCGGTTGAAAGGGTGGACTGAGATGCCTCTTGCAAATATTGATGAGAAATAATCAGTACAAATTCCTCAAATTAAGGCAAGGCAGGTAATAAGGTTCTTCAGATTTCTCTCTTTGCCCCTGGAAGTACAAGACATGGTTAGATCTGCTCTGAGAGGCTGCAAGTGGCTTCCATCAAACTCCATCAGTGGTACAAATGCTAGTGATTAATTTGGAAGCCTAGAAGAATTGCAAGGACTAACGCCATCCAGAGTGAGAAAGGGCCTGGCCACAATCTTTGGAGTACTCCCATTTTGTCAGGGACTCTCTGGAAAAATCTCAGAAATTGTAAACTATTCATTGTACTTTGTGTCTCCCCTGTAACATTGATACTAACATTATTATTAATAACATGTAAAATACTACTATTAATTAGTAATTGATATAATAATAATAATTTCATAAGTAGTCAAAATAACATGTCTCGTTGTCTTCTGAAAAAGCAGGCCCTTAGGAGTTAGCCTAGTGTGAGAGCTGCTGAATAAATCCCAGTGAAGTACAGGTATGTGACACTTAATCTTCCTGCTCTGAAGTTGAACTCCGATGGTGATTACAACCTGTTTACACCTGTGCCTCAAGAAGCTCACAGAGAGAAACTCAGTTCCTAACATGCTCCTAGCCAGAAAATGGCTATTTTAGGCTTTCTGGTTTTGCTGATCTACTCTTCAGGAAAATGGTAAGAAATTACACACATACAAAATCATCTCTTGGACTTGTATATACAACTGCAAATACACAGTGTAATACCTTCCAGACTAGATCACTGAAGGAAGCTTGGGAGGTACCTGGGAGGTACATAGCCCCAGGCTAACAGTACTCAACCCAATTGCTCTGATGATCAGAAGCAATAATTGCAAGAATTTAATCCCTTCAGCCATTTGTTTTGTTTGCTTTTTGCTTTTCACTTACAGAAAACTTGGTTGGGAGGGCTATTTGTTCACTACGTTTCCGAGAGTCACGAAGAGAACTTGAGGTTCTTTGCTTAAGTTTTTTTGCTTAAGTTTGGAGCAAATGCCTTGCTCAAGTGCTCTTCCAAATAGTGACAGCTATTTTTAGATAGTCTGGACTTTTTCAGGGAAAGGGATCTTGAAAATTTTTGGTTATATAAGAACTCATAGAGAAAGCTGGCTCTTAAAACATACTGCTTACGTCATGAAACAGATATAAACATTATGAGGAAGTGATGAAAGCTGGAATAGTATCCTGATCGACAGGTGGCCCTGGGCAGGATATTCCTCACTATTTGCCCTATAAATAAGCACTGGATTAGGAAAAAGGGCTGCCCTGGGGAAAGACACAAGGCTAACGAGGGAAGGTGATCAATCACCTCACAGTACGTGTCAATCTGTCTTCCCTGTAAGTACTCAAACCAAAATAATTTGAACAGGCATTTAGAAACCTTAATGGGACTTGAGTGCTAGCCAACTCCCATAGCTTTTCTGACACCACCGCCACCAGCTATGTACGAGTGAACCCCACAGAAGAAAAAAAAACAAAACCCAAATAACATAAAAAATGAAATTAATTACCATGATAAAAATGTCTGTGAAAGCTTCTTGTGTACACCCCCCCACCTGAAACCACCCCAACATTCCTGAGTCTGCATTGGCACACAGTCTTCAGCTGCCTGATGACACACACGGCCATTTCTCTCCCATGTCAGAACTCGTGCCTCATAAGGGCAATGCAGGGATAACACACAACTGGGAAACCATTATTGCTCCTTCTGGTTGGTAGTTCAAACTGCCCCTGTACTATTCTCCTTGTTCCAAGAACCACTGCTCCCTAATAAGCTGCTAATTTCTATGGAAATCTGCGCAGAAGCGCAATGCAGTCCAGCTTCCAGTATCCTTTTGCTGCGTGGCATCCATAGTGTCCTGGTTTGTCCACTCAAACCACGACACACAGCAATGAGTAAGGTGGCACTGATGATGAAGTGTTTTGCATGAGCAAGTTTCATATTTAAAGAAAGAGGAACCAAGACAGATTCTGTAACTATACGGGAGGAACAACCACCTGAAAATGGTGATGTCATTCCAGTCACCACCAGCTAATGCTCAAATGTTTTAAGTACTCACTGGAATCAAGATTTAATCCCAGCTGAATTAATTCCATGCTCATGTACTGGTTTTCTCCTGCAATTACGACAATCTGGCCAGTTATGTCAATAAAATTCCAGTCTTACTCTGTCTCCTCCCTTCTTCTTCCCCAACATCCAGAATACCCTGGTATGTAAGTAAATACCACAGTACAGTAAATATCTTATTCAATATCACTTTAGACTTTTGAGACATCACCACACCGGATTACAAAATTGCACAAAATACTGGTTCTTGTAGGCCATCTAGTGGTAAAACCAGAATAGTACAAAGAGAAAATAATTTCAAACTTTTCCTTCTACAAGCTGTTTTAATATAATCTGCAACACACAGGGTTACCTTGCTGATCAATGGATGTTTTTCCCACACAGCAGCAAGCAAGATGATTAGGCTCATAAACCATATTCTGACTAAGCTGAGAGCATGGCCACCAGCTTCTTTTCCTCTCTCCAGCGTTAATCCTAAAAACTACGTTAGAAGTTCTGTCTGAGCAACAAAAAAACATATTGCAAATCACTTAAAGCAGAGAAGAGGTCTACTGAAATTTCTTTAAAACAAGTTTTTAAACCCTCTATAGGGTGAGTTCTGGGTTCCTATAGTTTGCTTCTGACTAGAGGAGAACTTGATGGAAGATGTCAGGTGTTACAAGGAACAGACAGAAGTTCTCATTTCACTGAACACTGCAGACAGCAGTTGCTCTGCTTACAGGTCTCGGAGCCCCACTGGCTCCGCAACCCCTTCCCACCTCCACAGGGGTCTGGCTGCCTGTGCGCAGCTGAGCTCTGACACTGCACCTGGGATGGGGCTGCTGTGAAAGGGCCGCATGAGAAAGAGCTGAGGGCAGCCTTGTGGAAAGCTTCTGCCCCTCGACTCAGCAGCTGCATTTAAGTGCATTTAAGCTCAGGCTCTGGGCGTGGGTCCCCGCCTGAGCTGTGCTGTAGGTATGGCTGTGTGGGGCCACAGACCTCGCTCATCCTGACCCTGACTTGTTGACATGACCATACCAAGTGGACACGGGTTACAGTAGCCTCCTGATTTGTGACTGTAACAGACGGAAATAAAAAGACAATGACTGTTAATGCTCTATCCATGCTGTCTGAAAGGGAACAAAAATACACATCTGCTTGAATAAAAGTTTATTTCACATATCATAGAAAAATCACTGATAACATCAAAGAAGGCTTTACAAGATAAAGAGTATAAAGGAAAGACACATACAAATTGATAATAAATACACTGATCTCATCATATTACCCACAATATTCTTTATAGTTACACACTTAGGAACTAATTACCACTCACTGCAGTTGACAGACATTTCACTTGCAAGATTGATCCCTGTTTTTAAGGCTAAATCCTGCCCTCCTTACTTAGGCAAATTCTTAGGGCTATTACAAAGAACTCAGCCTGGGTAAGAAGCCTGGACTTGGTTTGTAAGTATCTTAGCTGCTACATTTATATGCAACTGTAGAGTGTAATCCTGTTTTTACTCTTGGTTCTACTCAGGAGTCAACTAATATATTTAACATATAAAGTCACCTACATTAAAAAAGGGTTCTATTTACTGAATTTGGCTGATCTGACAAACGTAGAAATAATCTGCAATATCATGTTTATGCTTGTAATTACCTGGTAGTGTCTTTCTGGTCGTCACAGTTAACGTTTCCTTATAGTTTTTTTTAACTAATGCATTTCACATTGTCTTACACAGTTGTTTCATGATAAAGAACAAGTTAGAGTCCTTTACTTGAAAAACCTGAGAAACGTACCAGCTTTAGTCAGTTACGGTACCTGAGTATATAAGGTACTACAAAACAGAGCTGAGGTACAAAGCTGAATTCTTCATAAACTCCAAATCCCCACTGATGTTAAGAGTTTGGAAGCTGTGCAATAGAGGAGAGTTATATTTGATTGTCTCATCTTAGTTCCTTTTTGGACACCACACAAAACCACTAAAGAAAATTTTCACTGCGTGCAGCAAAGCAAAGGGAAAAAAAGAAAAGAGGTATCACAGTGTATTGAATGCAACTGCTGTTATCACATTATGTTAACATTAATAGGTTTCTCATATACATTCATTTGCTGTTTGAATTCTAGCTGCATTAACTACCCAACAAGACATAAAGAAACTACTGTCTTTACTAAGTTAATGGCAAACTCCCTTGTGACTCAACGTGAGAATTCTATCCAGTAGCTACAGGAAAAGTCAAACTATGTAAAGAAAAAATCAGGTTTATATTCTTTTAAATACAAAGAAATGGACGTTTGCATCTCCTATCTGTCTGTTGACTGCAGTTACTCTTAGACAAATTCTTGGAGGATATATAAAACTGAATTTGAAAAGAACAGAAAGTGGAATCAGCACTTAGCTATGCCCTCCAACCATACTTATTTTACCTGATATTTGCAATGCCTAGTTCACACCGCATCCTCATGCTTATGTAGTCATCACAAGGTATAAGCACTCCAAAAAATACTGAATGTACACGAGAAACAGCTTCACAAATGGGATACAACATGTGCTTTCTAGGCAAAACCGTCTCTTTGCTATCATACCTCCTTACTATGTTGGTCAATTTTTCAAATGACAAAATAGTCCCTGCCCAGAACTTGGTTACATACACATATTTAGGACAAACTCGAGATCAGAAGTCTCATTTGTTAAATCATTTGAACAGAATAAGATTTTACTAAGCAATGTATCTAAGCCTCTAGTGCTATCATAGTCCACAACACTTTATAAAGGTAACTCTCATATTTTAAAATATATGAATACAGTGCTTTTCCTTGCAATAACCTAATTACTTCCAAGTTTATAAGCATAATCAAGACCTCCTCCCTGGAAGAAAAATGCATTTTTCTGTAGCTTGCCTTAAAGTGTGATCCAGGATGATTATTATGTTACTGAATGTAAATTTTTATATTAATGGTCCAACAGCATAGAAGAAACACAGGATAAATCATTGTAAATGAAGAGAACTGTTTTGGCTTTCTGTCACGTGCAGTGCACTACATCAGCTTAATTATGCAATGCTGGTAAATAATTCCATTTATAAATAGCAACACTGCACCTTTGACATGACACTCAATCGAAAAAATAGATTTGCTGAAACGAAGAGAATGTTCCTGTATAAATTGGAGTATAATTATAAATCAATTCTTTTGTTTCCTCATCTTCACTGGGGAAACGGTGCAGGCTCTTCCGGGCTGTAAAACATTGTAAAAGTACAGATCGCTTTACTGTTATCCTCTTTGACAGTATCTTTCTTAGCAAAGCAAGTTGTTCTGTGTAGCATAACAGCAAATAGAATTACAGTAACTAGTATGTGAAGAACTGTGAAGATACATCACCAGAAAGCTGATTACAGCAATATTTTATTACTGGAGAGGTAGAAATTTTATTATGAATTTAAAGCCAAGACTGTAAAAAAAAAATTTATCCATGAGATACTGGCAGTATCTACCAGATACACCAGTACTTGCAATACTGAAAGAAATGCATCAGAGTATCAGCCTACTGAAAGTTGCAGTGTTAGCATGGACTGCGCTCCTGAGGGCAATAAAAACTGAATCCTCGTCTGGTTTATCACGTTAGCAACTCTACACAAGTTAAAATTAACAACTGACAGATATGAAAATGATATTTCTGTAGAATGATTTAGTTATTAAGTGATGCTAGATGAGTATATTTTTGCCAGCTGAAAGCAGTTTACATTTGTTTTATTTGTGTTTTATTTGCAAAGTTAAGGAAGACATTCTGCCTTACATTAGCTAAAAACATCAGTTACTCACTGCAGCGTTATGATACGAAGTACTCAGTAGGAGTACAGCTGCTCAGTAGGAGCAGCTGTACACAGATTGGGGAGGTAATGAAGAATAACTCATGATTTGGTATATGAGATGGGGTGTAGACACCTACAGCTGGCTGACACAAGTTTGCTCTACTAGAATTGAAGGTCAACAGATCCAAAAGCTAGTGACACATCTGTGTGGTTCTATGCACAAGCTCATTATATGTGTATACATATATAAAAGTCACATGCACTGTGTCTCAACAGGACTTACAAGCAGAGTTGGCACTTATTTTGCCACATTTACTTGGATAATGGCCTGAGCAAGCTTACTTCTGCCTGTAATACAGTGTGCAGACAGATACTAAAAAATGTAACAAACAAAACTAGAAAACATGCTGCATTCTAGTATTAGACTACAAAAGAAAAAACAGATTCATACTATACTTTCTCCTATTTTCCCCTTTAGTTTTGTCTTAGTCTCCCCTAAGTACCCTATCAAAATTCTTAAAATACAGGAAGCTTATGGATACCGGCAAGGAATTTCATGCGATTTTGCCACCTTTTCACAAAGGGGAGTAGGACTACACTATGCCAAAAAAGAGTCCTGAACTTGTATGAAGCACAGCTTTTATTTCTACACTCTCACTGACCAGGTCAGCACGAGTTGCATTTCTTTAAATCACTGTCTGCTTTTTCCAATTAGGTGACTCTCTTGATTAGAGATGAAAAATAGAGAACAAATTCAACTATGTTATTGTTTATGTTCTTCTTCACAGTCCCAATCAATCAGGTAAGACAATTTCATAAACAGTCAATTCAAAATATGAAAATTATATTTCACCAGAATGATTTACTAAGTATAAATAAAGGAATAGAGTTTGATCCCTTCAAATACTCTTCCATTTATATCCTGCTTATTTATAGCAAATAGGCCAGAAGCATCATAAATTATCAAAATTTTACACATTACTTACTTGCAGCTTCTTAAGGTATAAACAAACAAATTAGAAGCTCTGTAAAATTCAAAAACTTCTTGTGCTGTCTATAGCAGATAACTGTTGGGCACTATATTACACCTTTTTGACACATCGATATACTGCCTAAGCAGTATTTATAATTTTGGTGCGTATATTTTGCAAGCAAAACTGAGAATACATTGAATGACTATAACTCCGTTTGGAACTGAAGAAACCTCTGGAATTACAAAGGGAGTATTTTTTTTTTTGTTTCATTGTCTTTATGAGAGGGAGGCTAAAATGTCACAGTGATCATTCAAAATGGTAGAAAGTCACAGCACAAACAAGGCTTCTGAGCCAGTCTACTGAAAAGAGTTTGTGGAATGGCCGGCCTTTTGATGTCACTTCTAAGCCATTCTATTTCTAGTCTCCCTTGTTTTTTTATAAGGCTATAAAGCTTGCAGAGTAATCTTCTCAGAAAGCAGTAATAGGTACTGAACTTTGACAACTGAAAGAGAGGTCTGTCTTCTTCAAAGATTTTCACTAATGTTTCACTCTAAAAATGACATTTATAGATAATAAACTTTTTACCTTCATTAATGAAGAAGTCAGCTATATAATAGGCCGCTTTTACAGCTGATGGGGAATGTGGAATGCCTGGTGAGTTCTTCCACTCAAAAGGATTTTTCTCTGGATGCCACTGGACACCATAAATTGGGTATTTGTACGCTGCAACAAACACAAAGCATGTAAGTAGGGTCTATGCCTTAAGAATTATATGCTTAATCTTACTGCAAAAGAAACTCAAAGGATAAGCTACAAAAATACCTCACTTACCAACAGTTTCACAGAGTCTTAAACAACAAGTTGAAACCCTGTTAAAGTCACCATAGAACTGAAGGAAAGCAATGGATACCGCAGAAGAAGGTTCTCATTCCATGCAAGAAGATTTTTGTGCATCGCTTTTTTTGATATTCATTTCAGAATTAACATTTATATATTAGAAAATCATGTTACAAATGTATCAGTCTCAAAGATTCCTATCTACCGCTAGCGTCACTCAACATAAAATATTCACAGCAACACAGGATATCCCTTGCAGTTCCATGGGACAGATCCAAGTCTTAGGATCTCTCTGAAGCCCAGTCAATCCAGGGGCAGCTCCCATCTGCTCTGTGCCAGGCCTGATACACACAAGGGGAAGCCAGCCCTTAACTCTCTTACAGAGAACAGCAGCACAGCAGCTGATGACTGCTCTGTCATAAACCGCTTGCAGGCACAGGAGACGTCCGTCATTGGCCTAATCAGGTTTTCTGATCAAACTGCTATTCTTCTGTTCTGGAGGACAGCCAGTATGCCGTACAGAGGAATCCTATGGGCCGACAGCTGGGCCTTACTGTAGAGCTGTTAGTAGTGCACTGATCAAGATAAACCACTCCCTAAAGAGCTAACTTGTTCCTTGAGCTGAGCAAGCCAGGTGCAAAACATACGTAACACAAGATCAGTTAAGGCAAAAACCTTTTGGAGAAGGACAACTACCAGTATTGCTGCTGAAGTAATGAGGT